TCCCAAAGGCAAGGGAAGTAAAGGCAAAAACAAATGAATGGGACTATAACAAACTAAAAAGCTTCTGCACAGCAAATGAAATCACCAACAAAATAAAAGGCAACCAACCAAATGGGAGAAGATATTTGCAAACAACAGTTCCAACAAGGGGTTAATATCCAAAATATGTGAAGAACACACACAACTCAACAGCAAACAATCCAATTAAAAAATGGGCAGAGGACCTGAACACACACTTTTCCCAAAAGGCATACAAATGGACAACAGATATATTAAAAGATCCTCAATTTCACAAGCTATTAGGGAAATGCAAATGGAACCTCACACCTGTTAGAATGGCTATTATCAACAAGACAAGTAATAACAAATGTTGGAGAGGTTATGGAGAAAAAGGAACCTCATTCACTGCTGGTGGGAATGTAAACTGGTGCAGCCACTATGGAAAACAGTGTGGAGGCTCCTCAAAAAATTAACAATAGAGCTACCATATGACCCAGCAACTGCTCTTCTGGGTATCTACCTAAAAAATTTAAAAACATTTATTTGCAAAGATGTACACATTCTAGATTCATTGTAGCATCACTCATGGTGTCCAAAACATGGAGATAGCTGAAGTGTCCTTTGATAGATGATTGGATAAAGAAGATGTGGTACATATATATGCAACGGAATACTATTCAGCCATAAGAAAAGATAAAATACTGCCATAGTGACAACATTGATGGACCTTGAGAAAATGCTAAGCAAAATAAGTCAGTCAGAAAAAGCTAAGAGCAATATGATTTCACTTATATGTGAGCTACAAAACTGAAAGTAACAAGTGAACAAATAAGAAAAACAAACAAAAACTCATAGACACAGACAACAGTATGGTGGTTACCAGAGGAAAAGGGGTGAGGGAAGGAGTAAAGAGTAAAGAGTAAATATATGGTGACAAAAAATGATTTGACTTTGGGTGGTGGGCACACAATGCAACACGCAGACCCTGTATCCTAGAAATGCACACTTAAAACCTATATAATCTTATTAGCCAATGTCACCCCAATAAATTTAATAAAACATAAAAGTAAAGGTCTCCATATCGGGGGACAATAATGAAAAAGGGTTAAAAATGCTTCTCTAAATAATTCCTGTAGCTTGACCAGCATTTGCTGGTTTTAATCCAGTATATTGAATCTTTTTGTTCAGCATAATTCTACTTAAGACTCTCTGAGTATTTGAGATTCAATTTGGCATTATTGCTTGTTTTGTCTTTGGTGTTGTATTGACTTTGGGAAAGTATATCTAAACAGAATAATAGAAATATTCCCATTACTCGGAGAAATGGTATTTCCAATGTAAAACTTATATTTCATGCGAGCACTACAGGCTGTTCCAAAGGATGTTTCATAGCCCTCAAAGCGATCTATTTTACAGAGAGACACAGAAGAGCACGCGTGTGTTCTCCTAATGTCTCTCCACGGAAACAGCAACTAATTGTTCTCGATTCGGGGCCAGCGATTCTAATCTTGAAGCAGACGAGGGTAGCTGAGGAGGTGCTTCTGGAATGATCACGGTTCTAAGGTGGAAATTTGGTTCCTTGGGATCCTTCCATGACCTAGTACCCCAGTCCCTAAGGATCGAGTGAAACAGACATTCAATTAAGTTTAATACAGAATCAGCACTGGCCTCAGCATCTCGCCTCTCAAGCTGAGTACATCTGTCCACCACCTTTCTTCCCAGGAAATGTACTGGTCCGCTCCTCTCTCCAAAGAGTGTCTGCCTTTCCCAAAGTGCCAAGGTGATGCGACACTTACTTACAGCAGGGAGATGCCATCTGCTCTAGCAAGTGCAGAAGAGAACGCAGCGGAGTTCAAACCCGAGTGGCTGCACACGCATTGCCCCAGCGTCTGTCCTTCTAATGACTTGAAGACCCTTGTGTCTGTGCTCGAGGGATCCAGATACTTTCATCTTAAGACAGAGCACTCTTCCAAAACGATTGCCATGAGGGACCACATTTCTTCACCTGCCCGTCTATTTTCTGAAGGCATCGGACACTTTAGATTCATTACAGGCTCTTGTAGAGCCAACCGGACCCTCCTCTGTCTGTGTGTTACAGAAAAGCGTATATGCTGAAAAACACGGATCAGAATTTCTATGGTATTTTACCGTGAGATTAATGTAGTTCAAGGCAGTCGACCCAGGGTTGCCCGAGTGAACTGAGTTTGTTTAGATGAGATATTCTTTCTGAGACCTGGAGTAGGCACAGTGTATCACATCCCATGCTCTAACCTCATGAACCCCAAAAAGCATGGTTTCTTCTTTCCTGGATTTTTAGGACACTATATGCTCCTGGTTTTCTTCCTATCCTGTGCCTACTTCTTTCTCTTTTATTGAATCACCTTTTCTACTCCTCCTTTAAATGCTGCGGAGCTTTGGATGCTCCTCTTCTCTCCTCTACAGCATCTTCCCAGGTAATTTTATTCACTCTCTCAGCACTAACTGGTCTACGTTATGGCTCCCAACCAGCTCTGTGTCCTGAATATCAGACTCGACTTAACTAACAATTGAGATCTCACTCATGTTTTTTCAACGTCATCCCCAAATCAATGCGTCTCAGACTGAGCTTAGCACATCCACTGGAAAGCCTTCACCCCCTCTCTCCGGGAGTAGTGAAGGGTTGAGCTGCCAGAATACTGCTAGAAATCTGGCCCTCTCCCTCCCTCTCCATCTCCATCCAATCCGTACCAATCAAATGTTGCCATTTTCTCTCCTCAGTTCTTTTCAAATATATCTCTTACTGGATCCTAGGATACTCTTGTCTGTGGTCTGGATTACTTCAACAGCTGCCCAGTGGTAATCCCTGCCCCTTGTCTCTCCCTCTCTCTTTGTTTGTCTATACTGAATGCAACTGATCTCTCCCAATCACACGTCTCAGCATATCGTTTTCCTGGTTAACAGCTTTTGGCTGTTCTAGATTTCTAAAAGCCCTCGACCCTCTGGTTCTCCTATCTCCCCAGCATCTTTAAATGTTGTGATAGAACTTCTCTGAGATTCTTAACTGTGTCATTCTTTCTCCTCCTCCTCCTCCCCCTCTCTTTGCCTCTCCACCTTATCTGCGGATTTAATGTTCACAAGTGTTTCCTCACACTTTCTTTGTTAATGTACGATCACCTCTCAGGCCTCAGTGTATTCATCCCCTTGTCATGGACCCCTTCCTGCCCTCTCCAGTCATGGTAGATTTCACTTCAATGTGCTGTCAAATACATTGTACATCACTACTAAGACCACCTGTGTCTGTACGTTAGCGTCATCTCCTAAGGACACACATACTGCTGTCGATAAAGAAACGGTATTTCCTCTGCCTAGAAATGCATTCCATCTTCCTCCATCCCGCACCCCACCTTTATTCAGCTAGATGGTGCTAATCCCACCACATTCGGGGAGCATTCTTGTGAACGTTTTCCCTGACTTCCCAGGCTGGGCTAGGTGACTCTCCTCTGTGCTGTCATGGTCATGAACCATCTTCCGCAATGAAAGTCAGTTCATACATCTTCTGCTCAAGCCCTTCCAGAGGCTCCCAGTACGCTCAGAATGAACCTCAGAGCCCTGAGGGTGTCCTGCAGTGCCCTACAGGATCGACCCTCGGTCCTCATTAACCTCTGACATTAGCTCTCATGTCTCTCCCTTTCTTTCCCGGGCTTAAGCGTGGTACCCCTTCAGGGCCATGGTGGTAGCTGAAATGCATTACCTAGAAATCCACACGACTAACTTCTGTGTCTCCTTCCATCTTTTGCAGAAATGCCCCTTTATCAAGGAGGCCTACAAACCATCCTATTGTAACTTGCGATGTGCACCATTGCTCCCCACCTGCGCACCCTCCTATCCCTGCTTTGCTTCATTTTTATAGCACCTCTTCCATTCGATCAAATGATATAATTTACTTATGATTTTTTTTTTCCTTCTCACCTTTTTTATTTTTATTAAAACAAATTTTTTTCTTTTTCTTTTTCAGGGTGTATCATTCATTTTTATTTTTTTAAATTATTTATTTTTGTTACAGATGTTTCTCCTTTTCCCCCCACTGATCCCCCCTCCCTCCCCGCCCTGTCCCCAGCTTTGTTGTTCATGTCCATTGTGGGGGGAGGGAGATAAACTACTTATGATTATTTTTTAATGTCTATCTCTCCTTATTAGAATGTAAGCTCCACAAGGGTAGGTATTTTTATCTGTTTTGTTCATTCAAGTTTTCTAAGTGCCTTCAATGGTGATTAGAATATAATAGGTGCTCGGTAAATGTGTTGAAAAGAATGAGCCCTGACTGTACTATATTAATATTTTCTTCCTTGCCCACCACCAAATTGTGAACTCTTTAAATGCAGGGATTTTTGCTGTTGTGTCTATTTACAATATCTAGCACATTTCTGGAAAATAGTAGGTTTTATGATAAATGTTTGCTAAGTGCATGTATTCATTGCTGACTGTACCAACACCTAGCTTTGCAGAGTTGGCTATCACACCATGGCAAACCAAAACACAAGTGCCGGAATGTTTTCTTAGTGGAGAAGCTTTACTCTAAGCTCTCTCAGCATCTGAGATCTCCCAAAACGCAGACACCAGGTGAATATTGCTCCCGCAGAGGTTAAGAATCTACCATTGTCCATTGGCCCTTTTTCTTCACTCTATAATTGGAGCATTGATTTTAATTTTCTTTTCCTTTATTGCTTTTACAGAGGAACGAGTGAGAGAGATAGAAACATCGATAAGAAAGAACATTGATTGGCTGCTTCCTGCACGCCACACCCCCCCGGGGATCAGGTCCACAACCTGGGCATGTGCCCTGACCGAGAATCAAACCGACGACTTCTTGGTGCAGGGTTGACACTCAACCACTGAGCCACAGGGGCCAGGCAGGGGCACTTATTTTAATAACATAGAAAACAAAAGGGAAGCCCAAGAATCGTGAGCTTAAAGCACCGTCTCTTACCCTCTGTGACATCTCTTCTCCTTCCCTTCCTCAGGGCTCTTCCTGCCATGATGCAGTGGGTCCGCACGCAGAAGCCTGGAGAGAGCGGCATCAACATTGTCACGGCCGACTTTGTAGAACTGGGTGACTTCATCAGCACTGTCATAAAGCTCAACTATGTCTTTGATGAGGGAGAGGCCAACACTTGATAGTACCATTTTGAACGTTCATGAATAAGGTAGAGAAGACTCATTGTATTAGGCACATTATCTAGAAACACTCTGATCTTCCTATTTCACTGAGTCTCTGAGGGAAGTCGGGCTGGCAGCCGGTGGGAAAGGGGGAATCTATCTCCTGAGTGGTTATGATCATAGTCTGCATTAGTATAAATATTTCATTTCCCATTTGAGGAGCAAAATCTAATTCTAGTGTTAGAGATTTTTAAAAAGACCAGTGAATTTTGTTTTTCAGATTTAGTTTTTGTAATGTATAATTTATGAGTGTTTACTTGATTGTGTTTCTGATTTCAACCTGGATCTGCTATGCTGTCTGTATCCTCTAATTGAACCTTTTTTCTCCCCTCTGGCTCGCTCTTCTTAATGAGATGCTGTATGGGACCGAAAACAGTTGAATGTCCCAACAGAACGTCTATCACATTGTTGTACTCAAATGTATTTGTCGTGTGGGATTTGGTATAATATTCTGTAGTCATCTGCTATTGGGCAATCGTTGCTAACTTTTGGTCATAGAAAATATGCATCTAATCAGTTTCCCTGCATCAGTAATATTGGAGACCATAATCAGTGGTTTTGTGTTATATGAAATTAATAGTGTTTCACCGTATTTCTAGTTAAGGCAGCTATAAATATAGAGTAAACTATTCTTTGGAAGAACTATTTTTGCCAACTCTAAATGGGGGGGACTGGGAAGAGATGTTTGCTATTTTAATTCAAGAATCTCTTAATAATATTGTCCTGCAAATGCCCAGTAAATGAAAAATGATGAATGAAGAGTGTGTTAAAATCAGAGAATTCAGCAAAGAACTCTTACATCAGCTCTCCTAACCGTTTTCTTGATTTGAAAAGTGGGGGGAGGTGTAAGATTGTGCAAGCTTTTCTATCAAATTGGGATTTCCAAATACGTAATTCTAAACCCCAGGTTATGAGGAACATATTTCAAGAAGCTTTAATTCGAGTTTTTCTTACTTAAAGTTGAAGAAGGACGAAGGGTGGCGGAAGGAGTCAGAGCGATGCTTTCAAAACTCTGTCCATGAAATTTCAAGGACCCATGTACCATCTTTAGCAGATCCTTAAATACGTGTGCTCTGAGCAGACTTACTGGCACTGTGTAACCCCTTCCGGGTTCGGTCCCACCCTAGTGTCGAGAATGAGGCGGAGACGAAGGTTTCTGTGGTCCAACATTTGACGGTCCAGATCTATAGGGAAGAAAAATGATAATGCAGCTTTGAGTGTGGCTTCCTCCTGGCTGTCTTTGTGATAGCTAACTCTATAACAATCTTAAAACAGCACAATAGTCTTTACCTGTGGGCCTCACCAGAATCTTGTGGGATGTTTATAACAATTTATAAAATTTGCTGAAATTCTGACTATCATGAATTATTTTATCTTCATGTTTAGACATAATCACACCTCAGTAGTTTCCTGGCAAAACACAGTCTATGTAAAGTGAGGCCTTAGGGAAGTGAAAACCCTCAGCTTTTCATTACCCAAAGGTAAGACGTGTGGTTAAATCTCTTAGACTTAGGCAAGGCGTTGATTCCAAGATTATGTATGCCAAGATTATAAATAATTAAGTGTTGATTACAAGATTACAAATACTTACTATCAGAAAATAGTACTTGTTAACAGCTCCAGGGAAGAAAACTTGTTTGTACTGAAGAGAATGTTTATGGAAAGTGCACAAGTAGGTGTGTTGGCCGAGTAGCATGCACATAGATGCTGTAGAATGTTCTACATTCCAGTTGTGTGTCTAAGTTTTGCCCTACACAATATATCAATACATACCCACTTTTATGCAATGAGAGAGATGCAAACACACACAAACATACAGAGACACGGACAGACACAAATTCTTCTTTCCAAGTGAAAATATTCATAATATTAAATTATTTAATTTTAAGACACTGAAACCCTTAACAGTATAGGGAGAAGAGTGACAAGATCTTTGAAAGTAGAGCAGCTGATCATATTCAAATGTTTTGGTCGGGATGATCCAGCTTGGGACTTCATAATTTGCAAATAGAGTTTTCTTTCTGCTTTGCAGTTTTATTGTCTTTCTGTCTCTTTCACCTCCTCTGTATATGCAACAATGTGAATCCTCTTTAAAAGACTATGGGTTACTGAAATTTATGTCCTGCAAATTAGCTTTTTGTGTAGGTTTTCTCTCTGACTATTCATTATTCATCCCTCAGGAGGATCTTTAGCCAAGCACGCTTGACATGACACAAATATTTAAGTTATAAATATGACAGGAAACACATCTTCTAACATATCCATGAAAAATGAATCAAATATAGAGGTAACTATGTTGTATTTTCTTGAACTTAGATGCTTTCTTATAAAGTTTGCTTAGACTTAGCTTTGTGGTATTGGTCACTTCGGTGCTGAAAAATACATGCTGAAAGATTAGACTAATTGTGCAATTTCTTAACTGGAGAAAGCTTTCTATTGCCACTAATGATATGCACCCAGAAACCTTGTTTGACAAAAGGTACCTTCACGCCAATATTATTGCTTCCATGTGGACACAGTACCTACGCTATGGAGCAGGCGCTGTGGGGAAAGGAACTTGCCTTAATTTCTAAAGGAAGGAGCAGTTAGGCGTGAACTCTGGGTCTTCCAACTGGGGAGAGAGTTCTCTAGGAGGGAGTCCTTTGAAAGGGGAATCGAGAGAAGGTGCCTTTGGCTGTCTTCTATTTATTGGCCTTGCCCTGGAGCACTTGGGAGCAGGCTGTGGGCCTTATTAAAAGATGGGGGTGAGGGCTAGTGATATGCAATCAGAGCTTACCCTTAGCCTGTGCTTCCTTGTCTTAGCTGGGCATTGTCTTTGCAGACAAGCTAGGAGTCAAGGGCTACACACAGGCACCGAGATGGCAGGAGATACATCTTGGTGCACTTTTTGTTTTGCTTGTTTCTTAAGACTTTATGTCACAAATTCTGCAAGGCAAAAAAAAAAAAAAAAAAAACAGAAACAAAATCCAACTTTTACCAGGTCTACAGCAGGAAGTCAGAGGAGTGAACGGGATGAGGGAAAATATGCAAAGAATATCATTTTGGGTTTGCCCTCCTGTCTGTGATTTTGAAGGACCAACACAGAATGCTCCTGTCCTTATCATTCACGTCTCCCTTGTTATATGATCTTGTGAATGCAGAGAATGAGGAAGCATCTTTGCAAAGCCTTAGGATATTCTGTATAGTGACCTCAATGTTCACTTCTAGCCATATGGGGAAAAGTCACTTTTCATAAAGTGCCATCTAACAGTGAATGTATTAGAGTATAAAGTGTTTGGCATGTATGCATCTATGTGTCTACACACATACACACACAGACACACACACACATTATTCAAGTTGAAACTATAATAACACAACCTAATCCTGTTGCTATTTTAACTCTTAAACTAAGTATCTCCTATGTGAGTAGGCATAAACATAATTCAACTATTTAAGAGGAGAACAATCACTAGGAAACCAATGAAGAAATGGGACGATCTCATAAATAAGAAATGCCTAGCAGTCTAGTTTAACATTGTCAACGGCACTTCAAGCTGCAGAGCTGAACACAGATCTGAATACCAGTTACAAGCAAACCAACCCTCGTCTTCACTTAAAGTTGTTTGAAGTTCTTCGAGGTTCTGACTTGTTTTAGCCAGGGTTACCTGTGCACGTTCTCCCCTGTTTTAGGATTTTAGACTGGAAAGTCCGAAGCCTCAGGAATTGCATGTTTTCATGAGTTTTTCAGTTCTACAGTTTTGCAGATCCAATGACACAATCTCCTAACCTGTGGCCACTTGTCCCAATGAGAGCTCCGTGGGAGGAGGGCTCGCCCTTTGAACTGCAAAGAGAAAATGATGAACAGTGTCCCTCGGATGCGCTAAACAAGGTTTTCAAAAGTAGTTCATTTTACAGCATTTTGGTCTTTTCAACTAGACTCCAGTGACACAATGGTGTAAACGCTGTATTTGCCGTAACCTCCTGTGTTCCACGCAGTTTAAACAATGCTCTAAGTTGTTTGTTTCCCCAATGACAGTGACAAGATGTTTCGTAGAATTTGTAAAGTGTGTTGATTGAGTCTGTTGATCATTGTGTGATATTTATTTCATCTGTGAGACTATTTTTAGGTATTAGTTTTAAATATATATTTGTATGAGTCAAAAGCATTTGCTCGTATGTGGTATGTGTGTAAGCATATTGTATAAAAACAAACTTATCCTAAAGAAAAAGGGCACATTATGACCAGCCTTAATCCATTGCCACTTTCTGTTGTCACTGCAATTTGGGATTAAAATTTAAAGAGAAATTAGTCTGTGTTAAAAAATGGCTTTTTAAAAAATCCTATGAAGAATGCACCTTGGAACTTACCTGAGCTCCCACAGATCACAGACAATAGTTCAGTGTGTGGAGCAACACCATGCTTCTCAAGAGTTACAAATGTCAACAGATTCATTTAATTCATGATCATACAATGACACCAAATTCCGATTTGTTTCTATCACCAACAGACTCTGTTTACCTCGAAAGCTGTTCTAAACCTGGGATGCATTTTGCTTATAAGGATGAGTTTTCCAGGAAAAATTGTTTCTCCAAAGCACCCCTTTTTAAAAAGTTGGATCTTCTCAAGTCAGATGAGCTGCCTTGGCTCCCGGAGAGCAGTTCAAGACCCATCAGCATTAAGTGGCCCCCACATGGTTTCCTTTCTCAGACGACAAGCATGCAACACTCTTTCACACCTGTGCCATCCGCCCACGCGTGGTCTAGCGACAGAAAACTCATGATTAATTCAAGGATCTGCACAGGTTCTCATGCTCAGAGGGAAAACTCCATAATCTTCCTTGGGCCTAAGATCTCGGTATGGAATCTTTTCTTTCTTTTTTTTTTTTTTTTTGTACAGACAGAGTGGGAGGGAGAGAGAGGAAGAGAGAGAGAGGGAAACATCGATGTGAAAGGGAAACATCGAGTGGCTGCCACCC